CACAGCTCACCAATTTTACTCATTATGCTCCATGTATCCACGTACCTGCACTGTAAACTTAATTGAAACTATATTTTATTCCTGCTTATTCTGAACTCCCCAACCTCCCCCCCCCCCCCCCCACTATTTCTTACACTAGTGCTAACAGTCTCTCCGGGTGCTTTCTGCAAATTGCTTTTCCTTTCTGATGTTACTTCCTGATATCCAATCATTTGCCAAGTTAGTTTAAATCTTTCCCCGTGGCAGAATCAAAACAACACACAAGAACATTTGTCTTTGGACTTAGTGCAACCCATCTGGCCTCTCTGTCATCTTTGTTTTGCATCTTGGTTTGGGTGATGCCCTTTGATTAGAATTGAAAGAGACACAGTGGAATGTGAATTTGCTGGCATGATTTATCTTTTATTGAGCACTCTCTCTGAACTACATATAATACAAGGCTCAATATGAGGCATCACATCTCTCAATTGATTCTGCTGTCATGTAATCTCACATCTTTGATCACGTAGACAGTCTATTTCCAAATTTAACATTAACCTACACTGTACACCCCCACCCCCATATTTCTGACTTCATTTCTGCTTCACAGACATAACTACTATCGGTGTTTCAACAATCTTTTGGATCTTGGTATCACCTGTGTTGAAGGAAGCTGAGGATTCAAGTTCTCAATGTTTTCTCTCAAATCATTCATTAACGAAATGTGGGCATCACTGACGGCCAGCAATTCTCATTAAACATCAACCACATTGCTGTGGATTAGCACATGTAAGCCAATCCAGGTGAGGACAATGGATTGCCTAAAGCATGAGTGAACCAGATGGGTTTTGAATTACAATGAATGGCAGTCACCATTAAGCTAGCTTCTTATTCCAGACGTTTCATTGAATTTTAACTTTAGTATTGGCAAAGTGAGATTTGAATCCATGTGCCCAGAACATAAGAACTAGGAGCAGGAGTAGGCCATCTGGCCCTTCGAGCCTGCCCCGCAATTTAATAAGATCGTGGCTGATCTTTTTGAGACTCAGCTCCACTTACCCGCCCACTCACCATAACCCTTAATTCCTTTACT